GGGAGCTTCGCAATACATATTCAACACCATAACTTATAAGCTATGTATGTTTCTAAATATAAATTTAATCTAAACAAACGTCGATATCAAAATAAATACATAATAATAAATTCGTCACATGCCTTAAAAATATGGGAAACCCAACAGAATTATCCTATAAGTAATAAAAATAATAATTTGTTTGTTTGTAATTAAGCACAAAGCTACACAATGGGCTATCTGTGCTCTGCCCACCACGGCTATCGAAACCCGGATTCTAGCGTTGTGGTATCAATCATCAGATTTGGACGAATCCATAAAATTATCTTATCCATTTTTTCACTTGGAAACTTTGACTCCATCTTATTTTTCCGGTTATTTTTCATTTGAAAACACATAAATAAATGTTTATGGGCAGACAGAAATGTAGAATAAGCATTGCGTTTGTTTATTGTTAAACGCAAAGCTACAGAACAGTCCACCTGTGATGTACCTACCACGAATATCGAAACCCGATTTTTTAACGATATAAGTCCAGAAACTTACAGCTGAGCCACTGGGGATGCATAGACATTAAAAGAGTAAAAAAACACAAAACCGACGTTTGTTGGCACAACGAAGATAACTACGTTATCGAAGCCAGTCAGCTGTAATTAATAATAACATATTTTACCTTACATTATGCAAAAAAAAAAAATAAGTTGGTTTTTTACTCTTAATATAGTAGCACAATATGCACGCAAATAAATTATTACAATAAGCAACGTAAGTTTTTTAACATACTAAGTGGTGGAATGTTGTACAACGAAGTACCAACTGGAGCAACTTTCACATCTTGTATTATGGAAAAAAAAACAAGAGGGAATCCTCAATAGCCACGGCTGTACTTAGATCTCAAATCGTTTCGTTTCTAATTCTTCAGAAACGACCAACTACTCACCCTCGTCATAGACCAAAGGGGAGTACAAGTTTATTTGGATACAACGTTTCGTTTCTAAATCTTCAGGAACGACCAACTACTCACCCTCGTCATAGACCAAAGACGAGCATAGGTTTATTTAAATACAACGTTTCGTCTCTAACAGTGAGACATTATCGCACTCAAAGTATTTTTAACTCCAACCAACTAATTTTATTCAAGATACTACTTCCATTTGAGTTTCTTTTTTTAATATGTAAGTAACTTAACACAAATATACAAGTGCCCCGATGGTTAAATTATAAGATTCTTAATACTTCTCTGTTTGTTCGTTTCTTTGGTGTGTTTTTTCCAACATGAAATTTACCTTTCGGTTTTCCTCAACCATATGTTCATTAGTTTGCATTTCACGCAAATCTACTCGAGGGCTATCTCCACCAACCGCCCCTAATTAAGTAGCGATAGACTAGAGGGAGGGCAGCTGGTCAACACCAACTCTTTAACTAACGAATAGTGGGACTGACCGTCACTTTATAACACCCTCCATAACTGAAAAGGCGAGCATGTTCGATGAAGGGCATTTCAACCCGCAGATTTCAAATCGAGCACCCTAACCACTAAGCCTCGTATGTTCAAGAATGTTTGATTCAAGTTTATATTTTCCCGTAAAGAAACGTTCACCATATGTACGCCCTATTATAATACACTATGCTACTACCATAGTCTTCATTATTAGTAGGAAACTCATAATATTGGTTCCTGATTCTTTTACTAATTTAGACTTCTATATTTTACTTAATTTTTCGCTAGCGCCACCTACAAATGGTACTGATCTATAAATCTATTTTCTTTATATTCCAGATTTTTTTTGTTTCTAATTTCGTCTTCAATGATGCATATTCCTAGTGCTTTTTAAGTGTTCTGATTTCTACTTTTATCATCATCAGCGGAGGAGTATTTTATCGACGTTCCATCGTGAATCATCTCTCTTCCTTGCGCTGACATTTAATAGGTTTATACAACAATTATACTCTTTATCTATTGTAAATGTTATCTTTATTTTGATTATTAATCCCCACCCCCCATATAATATTATCAGCATATCTCTACCAAAAAAGTGGTTGAAACATAGCCGTAATGGTTGATGGCCTATATGGCTTACTTGTCACACGGGGGATCAACGGTAGTCTTACGGACATGCAACTCAAAAATCCGAGGTTCGATTCTATACGTTGCAGATTGTTTGTAGTTAAGCATAAAGCTACGCAATAGGCCATTTGTAATGTGTCCACGACGGGTATCGAAACCTGGTTTTAACGTTATAAGCCTTTAGACTTACCGCTGAGCCACTGAGAAAATATACTATTCTTC